TGAAGGTATATATTCCCAATCACACATTCAGGTGAGGAGTTGCAACACAAGAAGTTTCAACTGAGAATATTTCTGGAATTTTTATTCTCCTGTTACATATTGCTTTCTTCTTGATTTAGATTATTTCTAAAGAGCATTGAAATCATTCCAACATATGTATATAAACACTTCAAAAAGCACTTATGGAATGTCTACTATGTATATAAAATGGCATAATACTGAGAGAGGAAGACAATAAAGAAAAGTGAAGGTAGAAATGAAAGGAAGAACATAGCATACAATTCATAAAACACATAAGGACAAAACAATACAATATAAATTGAACATTGAAAAGAGCAAAGTAGTCAGTGAGATAAACAGTTACTTATGACGCATACATATGGAAGTCATTTGATTCTCTTTTACTCTGTGTTCTGTGGTTTACTGAAAGTCAAGGCTTTAAAGAGATGCCCAAACTCATTAGTTATTAAAAAAATGCAAATTCAAACAACAAGATATTGTTTTACACATATTAGGTAAACATTCAGTGAGACTATATGGCCAACATAGAATGTAAGCTCCATGAGGGCAGGGACTTTTGTGTATTTTGTTCATTGTTATGTCCCCAGTGCCTAGAACAGAGCCTGTGCACCTAGTAGGCACCAACTATTTCTAGAATCACTAAAAAACATCAATAAACTAGCATTGGTGGAGATGTGACGCTTTGGAGCCCTCACCACTGTGGGAAGGTAAACTATGATAGCCACATGACATAGTAATTTAGTGCCGTTTGATATACACAAAACATATGACCTAGTAATTCTGCTCTTGGGAATGTATACTAAAGACATTCTCATCTAGGGTCTTTAGAGTCATGTATAAGAAGCTCACAGCAGCTTTGTTCTTGGTGGGTAGAGAGAGTCCAGCTCAGTGTCCATTACTGGGAGAATGGCCAGTTAGAATGTGCTGTATACACACCATGGGGATGCCAGTAGCAGTTTCCAGCCACAGACTAGATAACTACATGGATAGATCTAATAAACAGGACTGAGTGGCAAAATTAAGAAGTAGTAATTATATACATTTGTATAAAGATAACATTTACATAAAGTAAAAATATATGCCCACTAAATAATAATATATAGCTTCAAAGAATAACCTACAAACAAAATAATGTATGCAACAGGCACTGGAATGCTTGCCTTTGAGGGTGAAGATGAATGGAAGAAAGATATAGGGACTAAATTAAATCAATGAAAGAAGAGAAAATATGTCTTACTAAATAATAAGATGAATATAAATTAACAAATATTATTCTAAAAATCATATGAAATGAAATACCAATTTAAAGGATGATATAAAAATTTAATTTTATGCTCTATCTTATCTCAAGTGAAATTCTTTCCTCTTTGCTTTTTGTTTTTGTAAATTATCTTAACCTACAATTGCTGGACTGAATTGACTTCTCTTAATAATTGAAACTTTTATCTTTCATTGACAGAAAACCATTAATGTTCACTGTGAAGTTGGTTTGCTGTAGTAGAAGTTTATGTCTTTCAATTAGCTAAACTGTTGTATTAAAATTTATCTTTGGAGCCTGGTGCATGGGCTCATGTCTGAAATCCCAGCACTTTAGGAGGCTAAGGTAAGAAGATCACTTGAGGCCAGGAGTTTGAGACCAGCCTGTGCAACACAGTGATACCTCCATCTCTATAAAAAATAAAAAAGAAAGAAAAACAATAAGCCAGATATGGTGGTGCTCACTTATAGTCCTAGCTATTTGAGAGGCTGAGGCCAGGACTTGGAGGTTGCGGTGAGCTGTGATCACACCACTGCACTCTAGCCTGGGTGATAGAGTTAAACCCCGTGTCTAAAAAAGAAAAAACATTATCTTCGGTGGGTTGATTTTTATGGTTCTTACTGAACTTACTGTCTTCATCTCTCCTTGTCCTTCCCCATCCTTTTCCAAGACTATACATTTGCTAATCAAGGTAAACTAGGCATGTTTTTATGGATGACTACAGTGAGGAGTCCCCACTTTTTAAGAGCATTGCTTCTCATTCTGTCACCTAAAACAACCATCAAAGAGTCATCCCTCATCAGCTCACTTTCTAAGTGTTTCATGAAGGTGCTTTCTTCAAGAAATCATCTTAAAAAAATATGCAGACATATAAAACAGTGACCTAGAAACAGAGATTAAGTAAAGATAACACCTCTTCTGAGAGCTACAGATATGAGAAGGAAGATACTATAAATCGTCCAAATGACAAATATAAATACTACAATTATTTTGTAATTATTTAACATTCATAAATCACGTTTGCTTATATTAACTCATTCGCTTCTCACAACCTTTAGGACACATAAGGGATTATTATTTCCAGCTTAAGGATAAAATTGAGAATCTGGAGATACTGACTTGTTCAAAGTTAAATTTTAGAGCTGGGACTTGAACACAGGGCATCTACCTTGAAATCTGGGATCTTTTCCAACTGCTGTGCTATTAACCCTTACAAGGCACAGAGGAGAGCCAGTTATGTGTACATGTAGATGATTCAGTAGAGGCTGGGCAGCAGTAAACTAACTGTTTTTCAAAGACAGGTTAATATGAAATGATTTACAGAGAGGAAAAAGAAGAGAAAATCTAATGGAAAACTTTCTATTGTACCTGCAAGTTCTCATGTTTCAATCAAAGAGGTTCAACTTTTTTTTTATTTGTTTGAGACAGTCTTACTCTGTTGCCCAAGCTAGAGTGCCATGGCGTCAGCCTAGCTCACAGCAACCTCAAACTCCTGGGCTCAGGCGATCCTCCTGCCTCAGCCTCCTGAGTAGCTGGGACTACAGGCCGGAGCCACCATGCCTGGCTAATTTTTTCTATATATTTTTAGTTGGCTAATTAACTTCTTTCAATTTTTAGTAGAGACAGGGTTTCCCTCTTGCTCAGGCTGGTTTCAAACTCCTGACCTTGAGTGATCCGCCCTCCTCGGCCTCCCAGAGTGCTAGGATTACAGGCGTGAGCCACCACGCCCATCCGAGGTTCAACTTTTGCCAGCAAGTGGGTGGCAGCCCAGATACCCTGTTCATGTCCTCACAGCCTACGTTGGACATGTAGAGAATGCACAGATCCTCCACCACAGGGACAATGGTATTCCTTACATCTGCCATCTGGGATATTTCCCACACACCACTGTCTCTGCAATTCTAGCCACACTAGGTCCTGGATATGGGGGAAAGATCATCCTGCTGGAGCTTTGGGTTAGAAATAGAAAATTCAACTAGAATACCCAGCTTGAGTTCTATAACTATATTACTCACGTATTCTCAGGTGTAAGTACAGTTGCATATTTACATATAAATTAGTTTAGAAACTTGAAGAGGGAAAGGAAACATATTTTCCTTTTTAAAAATTTTCTTCTTGGAATTCCAATCATTTTATTATTTATTAAGTATGACTCATTTAGATCACTCTTATATACCATCTCTAAACATTCTCTGCCAGCCGCCTTATCCTGTATAGTCTTAGACAGGCTATAACTTTTTAAGAAACATTTTTTTAATATTCCACTTCCACATAGACTCTTTTAACAAGGATGCGTTAAAATCTTTTTTATTACCATTCCATGGATAAAATCTTTCCTTCAGTGCTTTAAATTTATTAGAAGAATGCTAAGCTACTACTTTATATGGCAACTACTTTATTTAAAACTGCATTGAAATCTTGGCTTCTTGTCCTTACACATCTGTAAAATAACATGGCTAAATAGTTCATTTGTCTTCACAAACAGCTATATTTTAAACAGAACATTCTTTTTCTAATACAAAAGTAATTCCTTATATTATCCTGGCAAGTATATAAACAATATGTAAAAGAAAATGAAAAACCACCTACCTATCATTCCACTACCTAGGGAGAACCATCAACCCAATATTGTTTCCTTCTGGTAGCAAAGGCATTATTCTGTATCTATGTGGCATTCAACACAATTTTATGCATGTTAGATGATGAAGGGACAAATCCAAAGTATTAGATAACTAATGTCTCATAGAGTTTGTTGTTTATGAATCAATTTTATCTCCTTTGTTTTTTTAACCTCCACTAATTCTGTAAGGAACATCTTTTTTTCTCATGGTTACACCTTACACCGAAGTTTCACAGAAGTGTAGTTACATCAGCAGTTGCAACATTAACAAATCGCAGAGCTCAGACTCCACTCAATTCACCCGGCTTCTCAAATCCCAGTAATTTCCCCCCTATACACCCCTCCCCGGACAATCCAACCACCTCGTGTATTTGGATCCCTGCTACAATTTGTTCTTTTGACTAAATTAAAAGTCATCCTAAAAGTTTGCCTTAAAACACCCTCAAAGTGTTACTAAATTAAGGTTAAATCTCAAGTATAAATTTTCAAGCAATTAGTTTTGGTTTTGCCCGAGCAGAACACCCCACAGATGATGCCGAATAAAAACTATTTACACACTACCATAGTGCATTTCTTGTAAAAATGTTGGGTCTGTAGCAACGATTTGCTAATCAAATTCAGAATTTGATTTGAAATGCCTCCGGCAGGCAGCCAATCCAGTTATGAAAGAACAGAAGCAAAAACCAGAGTCCTGGTGAGTCTCCTCCAGAAGCTAGCTGAGTCCTTTGCTCTCGTTAGCAAACTGATTCCATAGGAAATCACTGCAATTGCTCCTAAAATAAAATATCATAGTTATTTTTTTCAATAAATTATTGAACTATCCTAGACACAAAACATGTACATTTTGGAATCTAAAGTTATAAAATATTCTGACATGTTTTAATATAAACAGGAACATTTCCAATGATTGCTTGGATCTAAAATGTTTTTCCACTTGACATTTGTTTATACTTCCTAGGAAAGAAACTCTATTTATGGATAACTGAATAACACAAATAAACATCAGAGAGAGCTGAAAAATCAGCTTTGATTATGCATGAAAATCTACAATGTCATTGTGTACTCTTATGCCGTATTCTGATTGCCTGTTTATTTTTACAGAACTGCTGGTGAGCCTATGGAAGAGGAGCCAGCCTTGTGAAGTGCCAAGTCCCCCCTGATATTTCCTGTGTGTGACATCATTGTGTATCCCCCCACCCCAGCACCCTCAGACATGTCTTGTCTGCTGCCTGGGTGGCACAGATTCGATGGAACATAAACACTGGGCACAAAATTCTGAACAGCAGCTTCACTTGTTCTTTGGATGGACTTGAAAGGGCATTAAAGATTCCTTAAACATAACCGCTGTGATTCTAATGTTACAGTAAACCGCGATTGGAAGAAACTGCTTCCAGTGTGCTTTTAATATGCTGGGTAATCCACTCCTAGACACCAAGAATGAACTAGAAACATTCAGTACAGCATTAGATATTAATATCAGAAGCTATGACAGCCAGCAAAAATTTGGGCCAAACCGAAGACATACTCATTCCTGACATTCTGATAAGATTTTTATTGGGTAATTTTTTTTCTAACAGTTTGAAATTGTTTACAAGATTTTCTTTCTGCTATGAATGGACAGCAATTCCAGACAGATCACAGTGTTGTTTTGTTTTATTTTGTTTTTCAGAATTTTTTTATTGTTGTTGTCGTCATTGTTTCTTTTTCTTTTTTTTTTTTTTGGTCTTTGTTTTAACACTTAGTTCAACTCTTCCTAGTAAGAGTTCAAGATGGAGGAACCAAAAAGAGGCTTTTCTCAGTGAAATAAACCACACTGTTCTCAAAGTCCAAATGCCAAAGGAACCTCACACACTGTATGTAATGTGCAGTATTTTATGTCACATTTTGTGAGAAAAATTTCTCTAAGTCTCTGACATCCCTCTCTGTGTTTTCATACACAGGCAACTTGCTATTGTCTTAGGATGGGGTCTGTGTCCTCCTCCAATACATCCTTTGTCTTGATGATGGTAACTGTGAGCACATGTTCCACCGAGGGTTTTTGGCATCTTTGAACAGCATAAAACATTTCAAAGATGGTCTAAATCTGTTCCAAACCTATCAAGAACTTATTATCTCACCTTTCTTCTTCTGTCTTCCATCACTCCCTTTCTTCTTACCTTTCATCATTCCTTCTTTCCCTTAGAAAAACTGAAGATTAGCCATAATCGCCCCTATTACTCGAGGGTTTGGACCATTTAGCTCATTTTGTTTCCTTTCCAGGTTAATACAGTTGCTTTGTCTGATTTTGTTCTTTTAGCTGTGAAACCATTGAGGTGAATATGGTTTCTAAATGTTTGAAATATGTCACTGAAGGCATTGCTTATCTGTAGTCACCTTGAACTGAGTTAAGCTAGAAGTTCTGCCTTCATGTGAAAAGATCAAAATCAACAACAACAAAAACTTAACCTTTACACAAGTTGCCTTAGTGTCAAAGGTTAAAAATAAAGGACATTTATTTCTGAGATGTAAAGCAACTTACTAAATATAAGTAGGTTATCCCCTACCTCCAAAAATTCTATTTCGGTGTACAACTCAAACACCTAAAGATATTGAGGTAGAATACTTCTCAGTATTTAATATCTGACAATGCTTTTGAAACAGTGGATGTTTCTTTTTATATATTTTTCTAACTCAAAGGATATATTAAAGCCATAAGTGAAGATTGTCATGCTTTTTATTCAGAAATCTGAAAGAAACCTTAATTAAAACAAGGTTTTAGGGAAGGCCATGATATGAAAGATATGGAACAATGTGGTTTTAGTTAGAGAGGACTCTAACCTGTAAATCAAAGATGAAAGATTTCACTCAAGTAGAATTATATAACTCTCTTTTGTTATATAGTCAGACCATATTTTTCATGCATTTGGTTTTTTTAGGATTACCATTTTAATTTTAAAGACTTTTATTACATATACAAAAATGGCTCAATACTTGGTTTAACATCTTAGAAATTTGAGACACTCTTTGAAATAGGAAATCTGAAATAGAATGTAACTTGGTATTAGGTAAAAATTACTTTTATTGCATAAGGGTAAATTCAATCTAGAGTCATAGTAGTAATGAATTCTTTTGTAAATTTTATTTTCAGGATATTTTCAGAGAAATCCATACCAATCATATTTGCTAGCTTTTGTTATTTTGGAGTAATTGCTTGAGGAAATTTACTTAAAGAAAACCAAATAGTAGAGCCAAAGCGAAAGCTTAACAAAAAGACTCATCTTCACTTTAAAATGGAAAGTTGTATTTTAATTGGAAACTTAATTGTGTAGTTTTAAAATCAACTTCATAATTATAAATCTCTATTATTACTTTTCAGTCCTTCCAAATAGTTTGAGTATTGAATAAGAAAATAAAACAGCACAAACTAATTTACTGACATCTCCTACAATTGAGCCACAAGTTTATGCTGAGCTATCAATCTGATAAAGCCAAATCACTAGTACATCTCCATAGTAATTTAGATTTAAAACATGACACAATAATCATATGATTAGTTAATCATATGCCCAGTGGGTTGCAGTTACAGTCTTTAGGATGCCCCAAGAAGCAGATAAACTATGGAGAGGATTAATCACAACTGAATGCAGCTATAGGATCACTGAACACAGTGATTTTTGATTATACTGTTACAAGATGTAACATAGCCTTAGAGGAACAGAAGAGACTTTTGGAGACTACCAATACTTCTCTTGAAGTAGAACAGCACTTTCTGAAAAGACAGTTTAACTTGCTTTAGTTTTCTTAACTTACACATTTAATTGTTATTGCTCACAGCAGTTCCCAGTGAGAGGCTAATAGAAGAGCATTAGCAATTATGTATCTCTTTCTGATCCTTAGTTTGAAGGAAAATCACATAGGCTTTCTGGCAATCTTATGATCACTCATACACAGTAAATAGAACTAATGATTTTTGAAAAATCTACTAGTAAATAATGCTAGGAGTTTAATTTAGTAAGATTTCATAATAGGTATGAAAAGAAAGCTTAGGAAAATAAATTTTTTCGATTATAAAGTGTAAGTTGGGGCTGTATATTAGACTGAAAAACACAGACAGTTTTTTTAGATAACAGGCAAAATGGATCTCAAATGAAAACAGAGGTGATGTTATCAGTGCTTGGTCAATGGAAAGAACATTCCAAGATGAAATATTTTTAAACATTTTAACAAATTAACAGCATCAATAGTGCAGATAGAAGTCAGCTTTTGGAGAAAACAGAGATAATTCATGAAAAACTGCTATAAATCACATTTTCGTTACCAATCCTGGGAACAAAATCTTGCCTTCGGTTTGGACTGTGACCTTATATGACACTCTCACTCACCTCTCACTGACAACGTCATGGCCTTGAAAAGCAGGGCATCTCCTCCCACAAAGGCTTCAGAAATTACAGGCCTGGTGTCTCCTAACAGTTCAGTCCTGTTGAATTTCCGGAGGTCAATCATAAAGCCCTGTGGATTTACTGGGTTTCTTTACAGACTCCATATGGAAGTAAACTAGAATGATCATGTGGAAAGTCTCTCGGGAGAAAATTCCTCCTCAATCAGCACTTTTAAGCGTATTTTTTATCTCAGCATTAATGTTTGGAACAATTTATTTAAGTGTGTCTTACTATTTATCTTTTGATAGGTTACTCAATTTGTCTCAATAAAGGAAGTATTAAATGCCTAATAGCCCCAAAAGAAAGAAGCCAAAATTTTCTGTCTTAAAAGTGAGCTTGAAATAATCACTCTGTCAGAGTTAACATTGTCATTTCTGGTGGCATCTATCTTAACTTCCTTTTCCTGCTCCAGGAATCAAATCACTTGTCCTACTGAGAAAAATAAGGAGGAAAAAAAAAAAAAAGACAGAAGTAGGAAACAACACACCTGTTCAACTATTTCCATAAAGAAGGCATTTTCACCTCCAAAAGAAATGAAAACCAGATGATCTATACTAAGAAGTGAAGGCATTTTATTGTTGTCTTCAAAACTGACCATCAGCATGATCATGATCATCATCAAATTTCTTGTGTTCCCAAGGGCCATAATTATATCCTGGTCTCAAAAGTATTTTGTACATTGTCCTGCCTTTGGAATGAAGTATTATGAACTATTTCAGCACCATCATCAATCCCATCATTAAAATATGTGAGTGTCTATGTATATATTTCCATTGAAAATCATTGTCCTTGCCTCCTAACAGTTTGGTTTTATTCCATCAATTCGTGGAATGAATTCTTCTTGAAGAAGAATATGATTATCAAGTGTCCAGAGAATAAGAATTTTAAACGAACATGATATACTCACATAGGACTATAGAACTTGGTTTCTCTAAATCATCTGCAGTTCATTTTATCTATGATATTCCTGACTGGTTTTGCATAATGTATGAAGCAACAACTGAATCAGTTATTAAAATGCTAGAAAGATCTGGGTCAGACAAACACATTGATCTGATGCTGTTTGGACTTGAATCCAATGATCAGGTAATAGGCTTGTAACAATTTCTCAGACCATCTTAGTTCTCAAACTTGAGTATTTAGCAAATACATGATGAACTCACTGTACAGTGCCAATCTTTCTAACTAATAATTTCCTTTCCATTCTTTTCTACTTTCCCTGTCCAACTGCCAATACCAAATTGCCATATCTACACAGTCAAAATAATTTCTGAAATCTCCACCTTATGTTTCCTAAGTAGTAACAATCTTGACCACTGACTTTTCTGAGATACCACCAGGCATCCTTTCCTTCAAGCCATTTTATATAAACATTCTGGTAGATATTCTTAACCATCCTTTTTAGGAACCACTCAACTTTAAAAAAATATTCTTTACTTAAAATATAAATCAAGTTATTGTGTTTTGGTCTATAGTTTTGGCCTTGGCTCTTTATTTTATTAACACAGAAATTTTCTTTTTGTTTCAAATACAGTTTGCGACCATTCTTGCTACTACCTAATTGTGTTGTGCTAGCTATTGCATAGAGAAGGTTGTGCATAGACTTTCCTGGCCTTTGGAAAGATGTCTTTATGAGTCAAACCCACAAGCATCGACTCCCACCTTAAGGAAGAGTGGGAAAGCAGAAATTTTAAATCCATATATTTTGGAAGTAAGAGATTTCCAGACTTTTTCATGAAAATTGATGTCTTTTTATTTTCCTGTTTGAACCTTGGGCACATTAGATGCAAATGTTGCAGCATCAAATATAGTAGGGAGGGTCAAATGTTTTCTGGGACATTGTGGTCATGTCCTTTAACCTTCATTGTGGTGCCCTTTTTTAGATATATCATTTTGTGATGATAGAGCTCTTACAGCAATATCTGCTATTGCTTTAATTGACCTAAAATTGAATAGAAATGGAGTAATAAAAAAAAACCTAAAGGATTAAGAATTCTAAAATCTGAGGGGTCATGGCAGTTCCTTAGGTAGGCAAGGATTGTTTTTAGCTAAAAATCTCCATTTGCCCTTCCTAAATTGTAAGATTCTTGAAGTCTTTCTGGATAAGCAATGTCAATGTCCATTTCCACCATGGCCAGGTTGCAAGAAATTGCCATTTTAGTGGTTGCTGGGCATAAAAAAAAATGCTATTAAAAATAAACGACAGTTTTGTAGGTAATAACCTCTGGTAGTTTGGGTGATTTGAAAGCAAATATCCTGATATTTTTAAATGAAGTGGGCAGGGCAAGGAGAAACCAATATTTATTAATTTTGTGATTAAACACTCTAAACCAGGCTTGTTGATGTATATGCCAATAATATGCAGTTCTGGCTTAGTGTAAAATTAAAATGTTTTTTCTATTGTGGTCTGATATCTGTTTCTGTAATAAGATCAGTTCGTTGTCCTCTGTGCACCAGTGGTTTTGCCCTAAATTTTTTTGGCTAGCATTCACCAAGAACTGTCATCCAGAGCTGCTGAGAAAAATAGACGTTGCCAAACTTCTTTTCTTAAAATTGTGCTGCCAGTGGTGTTTTTCCAGATGTGAAAAATAATTATCTAATAAAGGATTAATACCTAATAACAATACCATTGTTGAACATGCTCATGGAATATTCACCTTCTTTCTGATTCCTTTTTTGTATTTGAAAACACAATGGTGTATTCCACATTATTGTTGATGTTGTTAATGTCATGCCTCTCCTTTGAAGAGAATGAAAGATCCCACTTTGTTTTGTGTTTTCTACTGAATTAGATTTTCCTCTAGTCCTATATGAATAAAAGATATTTGAAATAAAGGTGTTCTTATTTTTCTACATCCTTGGTGCCTAACATTAGACTTAGCACATCAGACTTTTGACAAATATTTGTTGAATGAATAATTGAGTTATTAATTATAAATTACTGTAACATATACTATTTTATTTCAAAAAATGAAGAGATTTACTTGCAAGTAAATATCCCGTACAATAAACAGAGAATTCACAAAAGAAGAAAAAGTAAAACTGAGTTGCTATTTGAATGTAGCTTGCTGGCTAAGACAAAGAATACTAACAGTTAACACTGATGTTAACTATTAACAGGCACCTACCGTGTACCTGTTATTCTACTGAACACTGTACCAGAATTATATTTAACCATTCCATGAACCCTGTGTCATACATATTATTACTCCCATTTACAGAAGAGAAAATCAAACTTTGAAATGTTAACTCACTTACCCATCGTTACATAGAGTGAGACACAGAATTCAATCCTTACCTACATATATCTAGCTCTAAAGTCTATCCTCTCTCCAAATGGTATACATGATACATCAAAGATGGCATACTAAATAAAGATATTCTTTAACTAAAAACCTCCTATTAACTCTCAGAAAAGAGTGTATGTTCAGTCTCTGCTATCTTTATAGTTTTATTAAATCATCATTTTAAATGAATCTGGTAAATGTGGTTGGATTCATACAGTAAGTAAAAGCTACAAAATGGTTCTTTCTTTTCCCATTTCAACATCTTTCTTTAATCCAACTGAGAACCCCTAAGATATCTTTGGAATATATACTCTAAAAACTCTTGTAATCTATTCCAAGACCAATACTTATTTTTGTATTTTATAACCCCCTGTAATGTTTAACGTTCTGAAACATAACTGTTTCCAGTGGACAATGGTTTGGCTTCCTTCTGGGAAAAGATAGTAGTATTTTGTCTAACAGAAAGTAAACTTGAGATGGAGTGGGTGAGTGGAGTTTATTTCAATGGTAAACACCTTTGGTTTAATCAGGTTTGTCAAACGACAAATGTTACTTTGTGGTTCTTTATTTCTCTTAAGTTTCCATGGCAAAAAGAGAACAATTGAAAAATGGAGTATAAGTAAAAAAAAAATGAAATGTCATATTGTTATTTTAAAAGAGTAGTTTGTAGTTGAAAATAGAAGTCTAAAGAGTTTCTTTCATCATTTAACACTTTGGTGGTGCTTTAGAGTTATTGAATTCAAAGTAGTCCTAAACATTTGTAATTACCTTTTAGCTTCGTAGTATCTATAGGCTACTACACAAATTCTTACAGTCCTTCAGTTTGACCATAAATGGATAATTCCCCACATATCCTAATAAGTACTTTGGAAGAGACTGAAAGATGTTCTTCCAAATGTCATAAGAATAAGGAAGCAAGATTCAGGAAAAGAAGTGAATGAATTCCTTTGTGTAATCTTTTAAAACCTGGAGATATAAAAGAACAAAAACAGATCGCATTCACCTTAGATCAGATCAAATTTAAAGTTCTTAGTGTATCTAGAGAAGGCACTATTGACTCCATATTAAAAGCTTATATATTTGAAATATGATATAATCCCATCTCTGTATTTTTCTCAAAAAATATGTTTTTCTGAAACAATAAGTTTAAAAACTTAAGATATGACAGAGTGAATCAGTTTAATGATATAATAAAAAGTGAATCTTTTAATAACAACTTCATTATATATTTATGAAGATTTATTCTGAATATGAAGACTTTATGTCTATGGAAAAGGAGATATTTTCTTTTAAGATTGTATATTTTTAGTGCACTACTTTTATTTTTTTCTCCTTTCCTAAACATGTTTTGTTTTAGTTGTTTTATTTATTCTACAAATAAAAATATAATAGTTATTGACCACTTATCCTGCGCTATTATTTAAATCTCACAACAATCCCGTGAGGGGAGTTATTTAATAGATGAGCAAATTGAGGCTTAAATGCCAAAACAAAGCCCATCTCTTTACTGCTATCTAAACTAGTGAATTCAATATGATCAACGTTCACTGAATGCTTACAATATGTCACATGTATTCAGTACTTGTTCTCAAAATAGCATGGAAAATAGCAAGAAAATTGGCAATATAACTATATAAAAGAAACAAAAATGTCATTAAAGCCCCCCTGAAATACCTACAAAAGCAACATTGTCACAGAATAGATGCAGTTTGGGAATTGTGTGATACTAAGGCTTTAGAAAAAGAGTCACCTCTCTTCTTTTTTCATACAGTTAAAACATAGAGGCAGAGATAGAAAACATTTAAGAAATATTCTTGTCTAAATCACATGCAATTATATTCATGGACTATTTGGGTATAGCCCTATCAAGATAGTAGATTTGATTTACGGGGTTTGTTAATTTCCCTTTCATCCCTAATGTCTATCAGATCAACATACAATTAAAGGCATATAATGTTGAGAATTATAAAGATGGGAGATTAATTTTGTAGAGATCCTTAAAAATCCCCTCAGAAATGGTTTCCTAAATTTCATTCTTTTGCTTTTCTTTCATTATTTCTTTTTTTTTTCCTTAAGAAAATTCAGTTAATTATAATTTCTGGAGAGACAAGTCCCCAATAATCAAGTTCTACAATAACCAATTTTGCTTTTCTCCATTTGCCCTTTAATAAAGTATAATTTCCAACCTCTTACTTTTCAAAGCACTGATCTCGATAAGCAGTATTTTCAGTTCTTTCATCAGGTCCCAAAACCTGATAGGCTGTAACACCCTCAAATCAGGCAGATTGTATTTAGAGGTGGTCTCTCTACCATTAAAGCCATGCTACCATTTTGAAGTTTTAATTTCCCCAGTTTAAAATTTAGCCTATACTTAACCAGATGCATTCTAACTTCTTTTTTATGGTTACATACATGTCCATCTCTCCCACGAGACTATTAAGTTCAAACCAGAAGTCCCACACAGCCAAAAACACTGCCTTGCAATTACCAAGTATTTATAAAAGGATTGCTAGATGCTGTGAATTAGTCCTTTCTTATTACGACTCCTTTTAAGCCCAATGGAAAGTATAAGGAGCCCCATATCATAACCTGTGTTACAAAGTCATTTTCCCTGTGTTGAGATCAAACCAAGTGAGGTGTTTAGAGTTTTAAGAAACAATTTTAAAAATAGTTAAGTATTCAAATTGTATTTATAGTCTAAGAATATTCTAGTTTGGGAGATGTATTTCCAGAGTATTACCAGAGAATAGGATGCAGGCCTTAGAATCCAGACTTTTGGTTTCCATCCCTGTTACTATGATGACTTAGTTTATAGCTTTTGATAAGTTCAATATCTTCCTGTGGCCTTAATTTCTATATTTTTCCCCTTCGATGACTTGAAAGTTATACATACTATTTCAGCTATTTTAGTAAAATTATACATTATTTCTATTATTTTAGTGATTACTCACATTGGTGAAATGCAGCCTTGACTTAAAAGTCAATTATCTTAATCACACATCTGTATCCTCTTCCTATAGCACACAAGGATTATAAATTGTACGGATTCCTACATACCCTGTTTTTTCTCATATTTTCTCCACTGTATGTTTTTGTCTGCTTTGTATTTAGTTTTACCTTATTTTTAAACATTGATTTTATCTTTAGCAAATATTCCTATATATCAAGGACTATTAATATATATCTACTTACAATAACAACCAAAATACCGAATCAATAATTATTGTGATTCCATCATGTTTACCAATTTTTTTGCCCCCAAATTTTTTTTGCACCTCATTTCTTTCTTCTTTCAGGCTGAGAGTGATTAACTTTCTCCTACTTTTCCTGTCTGAAATACTTTTATTATTTTGGTTACACTCTTAAATGATATGATGGCTGGGTATAGAATTCTAGGTGTCAATTATTTTATTTGAGCACTGGGATAACATTATTTTATTGTGTTCCTGCCTCTTTTTTCACTACCAGGATGTCTATAAATGCCTAATGATTGTCCCTTTGAAAATTATCTGTTTTTTCCTAGATCTCTTAAGATCTTCTCTGTAAGCAGTTTTTTGTTGTAGTTGTTGTTGTTTGTTTGTTTTTTAATATGTGTGTTTAACCTGCAAGGGGCTTATTATGTTTCCTAAATCTGAAAATTCAATTCTTTCCTCTATCTGGAAAATACTAAGTTATTTAAGATTGATGATAGTACCCCCAGCCTTCTATTCACTACTTTTCTAATTCTTATTAGATGTAACTCTTGTTAGACATATCTCGTTGGGCCTTACTCTATACTTTTTGTCTGCAAACTTGTCTTTCATATTTTTAATTGTGTTGTCTCTTTATGCTGTCTTTGAATAATTGTCTCTAAATTTTCAGGTCTAATTTTACATATTTTTTTATCCTATAAACTTTAACTTTCAAAAACTGCATTATTCATTTTTAAAAGATTAGTCACTGTTCAACATTCCATTATTCTCACATCCTATTTCCTTGTTGCTTAAATTTCTTGGTTTTTTTTTTTTATTTTTTATTTTTTTTTTTTTATTTTGGCATATTATGGGGGTACAGATTTTAAGGAAATTTCTTGTTTTATATTTAATAATTTTTTATACATTTAGTTTATAATGTCTATTGGAGTTCCTTATGATCCCAGGTACTCAGGTACTTGCTTATATTAGTTTATTTACCCCTCTAAAAATATTTTAATGTTGAACTTATTTTCAGTAGGGCTTTTTTCTGTGGGAATTTCATGTTATCTGGGTTAAGGACATATTCCTCAGGGGCAGTTTTGCATTTCCTTCTGGAAGGCATTCCAGCAGTCTTACTATCTGGTACCATATTGATGCTTATTTTACTGCTTTTGGATTCTTTGGCCATATGACTAATATGAATTTAAATCACAAATCTATGTTCAGACTTAGCAATTCTCAGAAGAAATTTTCCACATACCCAGTGTTCACAAAGAAACGATTAACTTCCTTGTCATTTTGTTGTCAGTGGGCAGATATTCTTTTATTCTACCCTCCTACTTAGGGGTCAGCTTTCAAGGTTCCTGCATTAATT